TTTTTCTTTTTTTCTTTGTTTGTTTGTTTGTTTCTTTCTTTCTTTCTTTCTTTCTTCTATGTGCGATATTTCTTTCTTTCTTATCCTTAGGTGCGTTCTTTCTTTCTTTCTTTCTTTCTTTCTTTCTTTCTTTCTTTCTTTCTTCTATGTGCGATATTGCTTTCTTTGTTATCCTTAGGTGCGTTCTTTCTTTCTTTCTTTCTTTCTTTCTTTCTTTCTTTCTTTCTTTCTTCTATGTGCCATATTTCTTTCTTTTTTTCTTATCCTTAGGTGTGTTCTTTCTTTCTTTCACCATGTTAGTTCGTTCGTTTTTTTTTCTTTCTTTCGTTTTTGTCTAATTAATTTCTTTTTCTCATTTAATCGTTCTTTTTGTTCACTACACCGTTTCGATTTTTCATTCTTTCCTTCTTTTTCTTTTATTGTTTATCTTTCTTCCTTTGTTTCTTTCTTTCTTTCTTTCTTCTGCTCAATTTCTCATTCGCTCTCACTCTCTGTCTCTTCTTCTTAATATATTTTTCACATATAGTCATTTGTCTTTACCTTAGCTTTTCCTTTCTTTTTTTCATTCTTTTTTTTCTTCTTTCCTTTCTGTTGCCCTATTTGTTCCTTTTCTCATTTATTTACTCTCTATTCTGTCCGCTCATTAACTCCTTTCATTCATTCATTCTTCCTTTCTTTTTTAATTTGCTTTTTCTTTCCTTCTTTTTTTCTTTTTCTTTCCTTAATTTTCTCTTTATTTTTTTATTTCTTTATTCTTCCTTTATTTCTTTCCTCATTTTTTTTCTTTTCTCTTTGATCGCTTTGCTATTTTCCTTCCTTCCTTCATTTATTCATTCCATACATTCCTTTTTTTTTCTTTCTTAGGTCTCGACCATATCATTTCTCTGTCTGGATTCTTCATTTCTTTCTTTCCATTTTACTTTCTTTTCTTTCTCTTTTTTTCTTTTCTTTTTTCCTTTTCTTTATTCGTTATTAACAGATAATTTTTATTTGTTTTTAATCTATTTTTGTTTGTTTGTTTGTTTGTTTGATGGTTTGTTTCTTTGTTTCTTTCTTTCTTTCTTTCTTTTTCTTTCTTTCTTTTACGCATTCCCCGTTTTCGTTCTTTTCCTTTCTTCGCTTCAGTCCTCAATTTCTTCTTCCGTTCTTTCAATATTCCTTTCTCTTTTCCGTTTCTCCATACCTTCTTTCTTTCTTTCTTTCTTTCTTTCTTTCTTTCTTTCTTTCAATATTCCCTTTTCTGGTTTACTGCTTCCTCGTTTTCGTTCATTTTTTTCTTCTTTCTTACCATGTTCCGTTTCTTCTTCCTTTCTTTCAATATTCCTTTCTCTTTTGAGCTTCACCATTTCTTTCTTTCATTCATTCATTCTTTTTTTCTTTCTTTCTTTTAATTTCTTTCTTTCTTTCTTTCTTTGTTCCCTATCTTACCTTCTTTTTCCCTTCTTTCCGTCTTCCGTTTTTCTTCCTTTCTTTCCGTATCCCTTTCTCCTTCGACTTTCTCCATACCTTCTTTCTTTCTTTCTTTCTTTCTTTCTTTCTTTCTTTCTTTCTTTCTTTTCTTTTCTTTTCGTTACCTTTCCTTTCCTTTCATTTTAACCCCCCCGCTATCCTTCTTGTTTCCTTTATCGACTCGATTGCAAAACAGGAACCGGAAATTGTAGTCTACGCTTCCTTGTTCCGGAATGTAGCTGTGTTTATTTTTTTGCCTTGACCTCTCAAGGCCTTTTGCATTAGTAAACAAGCTTCTAAAACGGTTAAAAAGAAAACCAAAAAGTCTAGGCAGTTAAAAGAAATTTCATATGGAACAAAAATTTGCCTTCGAAATCACCGAACAATGAGGCGAAAAAGTTAAAGAAACTTAATGCAGATAAGAAAAATAAAAAAAACATGAAAATGGCGGATGAAGACGATTTGTGTTCCAATTTGAAACTCTAGAAAGGTCAAAGTGCAAAGATTTCCGAATAAAATAGTAAACGGGGAAAAGAGTTTTAGTTGTTTTTTTTGGGTTTTTTTTTTTTTTTTTTTTTGCGGGGGGGGACTAAAATTAAATATCAAGAAGTAACTTTATGAGAAATTTAAAACAAAAAATGTTATGAAATAATTAAAGCTGCGAAAAAGTATTAAATCTGTGAGGCAAAATGCATGGAAGAAAAAAATGAATCAAGCAGAAGAAAGAAAGAAAGAAAGAAAGAAAGAAAGAAAGAAAGAAAGAAAGAAAGAAAGAAAGAAAGACACTAAATGAATAAATGAGAAGGAAAGAAGGAGATAAAGAAAGAAAGAAAGAAAGAAAGAAAAGAAAGAAAGAAATTAAATGAATAAATAAATGAAAGGGAGGGAAAGAAAGAAAGAAAGAAAGAAAGAAAGAAAGAAAGAAAGAAAGAAAGAAAGTATGAAAGAAAGAAAGAAAGACACTAAATGAATAAATGAGAAAGAAAGAAAGAAAGAAAGAAAGAATGAAATTAAATGAATAAATAAATGAAAAGGACGGAAAGAAAGAAAG